ATAACAATAGTAATATTTACTACTTATTATAAAATAGGAAATTAATATTTGCTAATGGACTAGTAATTATTTTATTATAACATTATATTAAAAATAATTGAAATTACTTGGACTTGGACTTGAACTCCCATACATTTGGCTTATTTAGACCGATATTTAGATGCCAAGTCAAGACTAAAGTTCTTACATGGATATTTGTGAAAAAATTCGTTAATGGAATAAAAACTTTCCTGTACCAACCATTTTTTTAGTTCATTACAAAATTTTATAAAGGGAAGTTGTGTTATATGCTTGGGTAGTGCGTTATATATTAAAGGGGTCATGTAAGCACAGCTCTTTCGAAAGATTTGCAGTTTGGGAACTGGCATTTCATATGCCAAATGTGTAACCTTTCTTTTGTTAGTGTTATCTTTCGGTTGAAAGAGCATAGGATAAGATCTTAAGAACTTAGCAGCTTCGTAAATGTATATGCACGGTACCGTTAAAAGGTTGTGTGACTTAAATATAGGTCTACAAGATTCCGACCACTCCATGTTAAAAATTGTCCGAATGCATTTTTTTTGAGCAATAAATATTCTCTCTATATCAGAGGAGTTTCCCCATACCACTATACCATAACGAATCACTGAGCAGATGTAGGCGTGATACACCATCAAGGAGGTTTGCCGAGACGTAACATCTTTTACTTTCCGTAATGCAAACACGAATTGATTAATTTTCCTACAAATGATATCAATGTGGTTTTTCCAAGTAAAACACTCATCCAATGTTACTCCAAGAAATTTCGAAGTATTAACCTGATCAATCTTGCTATTATTATATACCACATCAAAGCGAATAGGTTTACTTTGCCACGTCTTAAAATGAAGCAAGTTAGTTTTAGAAATATTTATTTTCAGTTTATTAAAATCTAGCCATTGTATTACGTCGTTCAAAGTTTGATTAGTTTCAATGTCATAGTTTTCAGGATTATTACATTTAATAATTATTGTAGTGTCGTCAGCAAATAAGACACATTGATGCTTTATCGATTTTGGCAGGTCGTTTATATAAAGAAGAAACAGTAGTGGTCCTAAAATGCTGCCTTGTGGAACGCCGCAGTCATTAGTATCCGGATTAGAATCAAAGTATTCAAGGCAGTGGGTTATTTGATTAAACTTGGTTATTCTTGTAATTTGTTTTCGGTTACATAGGTAAGACTGAAACCAACCCTTGGCTGGACCCCTAATACCATATTTTTCCATTTTGTCTATAAGTCTGTCATGGTTAACAAGATCAAAAGCCTTACTCAGGTCTAGAAACAAAGCGCAGGTAGGTATTTTATCATTAATGTTACTAATAATGGCTTTAACTAATGTATAAATCGCTAGCATAGTTGATTTATTTTGCCTGAATCCATACTGTCGGCTGTCTAGTATATTATGTTTATCAAGGAATTTTAGAACACGGCTATACAGAACTTTTTCAAATACTTTAGAAAGCACAGGAGTGAGTGTTATCGGTCTATAGTTATCTACGTTTAATTTTGAGCCCTTTTTATGTAATGGTTTTATCAATGATAATTTTAATCTTTCTGGAAAGCATCCTTGCTGCAGAGATAAATTAATAATATGGGCTAAAGGTTCAGAAATATTTTTGGATATAGATTTAAGTAGTTCTGTTGTGTACTAGCAGCCCGTCCCGGCTTCGCACGGGGTAGACAATTATTTATTTTTGGAAATTTGGATTGTTGTAGTGACATAACTACAATAGTTGGACATATGCTACCGCGGAGTTTTTTGTAGACATTATGATGTTCTTCAATATTGTTGTACATTATTTTGTTCTATCGCTAATAGTTTCGGCAGCGCATTCGACGAAAGACATTTTAAGACTCATTTTTCTACACCTTCGGTTACATTGTTCAAATTTTACCAAGGATCCCTAATTTTTTTCAAAATGAAATGTAGCCTATGTCAAATTGGAAGAATGTAGCATTCTATTGGTGAAAGATTTTTTTAAATCGGCCCAGTACTTTTTGAGCCTATTCATTACAAACATACAAAAATAGGTACAAATCTTTCCTCTTTATAATATTAGTATAGATAAACTTTGTGAGTTATATGAATGTTTGTCACTCAATCACGTCAAAACGGCTGAAGCGATCGGGATGAAATTTACAACATGGACAGATTATTGTTTGGAATAACACATAGGCTACTTTTCACCGACTTCATTATCCCACGGGAGAGCGGGCGGAGACGCTGGCCGAAGTCGTAGTTTCGTCACGATCGTCCAGAGTTGCAGATAAAGCGCAATAAGTTGCTCAGAGTAGACTCAGTCCCTCGCAATTGCGACTGCCGGGCAAGGGGACTCGGGTTCAATTCCCTAGTCGAGCAAAGTATTATTGGGTTTTAAAAAAAAATCTCAGTTGCTGCACAGAGTCTGGAATTGTGCCCGGTATATGGCACTAGGCTCACCCCCTATTACATGGGACTCATAACATAAATAGTGAAAAGTGGGTGTTATATTGTACAGTGGCATTGAGTGTCGTAATGTGCACACCTGCCCCCTTTAGGGATAAAAACCTATCCAACTACTGAACAAAAACCTAATAAATCATTTTATTCCACCAGGCACGGCGACGGAAAGCGGGTGAAGATTCTGATGATGATGAGCTAGGAGTCGCGCCGCCAGCTAACGACATCTATCGCCAGAGACAACAAAAACGAGTCAAATAGAACTAACATAATATTGTAATCAATAAGCAACAATGTTTGTATTATTAAAATCTCATGACACATTATACAATAGCTGTTTGTCGAGGTAAGTCAAGTGGTTTCAAGCCATGATAGGAGCTCATAGTCGTGAACATCGTGGAAGTGAAGTACCCTCCAATCTCCCAAGTCCCCGAATCCCCAGCAATCCTGTCGCGGAGAACCTAACGGGTAACCGGGGCTCCGACTCGACGTGCAGGAGAAGGAACGGGGTGGTTTTTAGTCAGTAAGAACCTGACACTCCCTCCCGCCTCACCAAGGCGGGAGCAGTCATTCGATGACTTACCCCTTTAAAAAAAAAAATCCCCAGCAATCCTATAATTCCTATCCCCATAAGGCCGGCAACGGTCTTGTAATATCTCCGATGTTTCGGGTGTCTATGGGCAGCGCCGATTGCTTACCATCAGGTGATTATGGTGGCTTATCAGCATTAAAAAAAATGAACACCATTGCATGATTCCTAAGAAACCTTAGTTGACTTACTTTGCGAAACAGTTATGTGTGCCGTTAGACATTATTATTTATATGTGGACATTTTGTATGTGCAGATAATGAGATTTTTTTAAACAAATAAATGAATTCATTATTGGTATATTTGGTTTGATTTTACATAGCATATGAGAAGTTTTGTATGTGGAACAGATGTAATATGAAACTTTTATAAATAAAGAATAAACAATAATATTGATTGAGTCGTTTTATTTTGTCACTACTACTACCACTTGGCTTGAGAAGTTGAAAATCGCCGTTCCCATACTAACCTTTCATCTGGCTGGCAGACATATTATTGTCTGCGCCAAAAAATAGCGTAACTGGCAGGTAGACATAATATGTGTTAAAAGAAAACAAGGTTAGCGAGTTATAGGAATCATTTATTGCGTATTGAGGGTAGATGACACATATTTAAACATTCCGTTTATCATCAATCATATTCAAAATCATTACAATTTTAGCATACACAATATTCATTAATTCACAAATATACAGAATAATAATTAGCACAGAAATAATTCAATTATAACGGAATAATGTCTTGCGACCTTATTTCCGACCGCCTATTTACCAATTGGAGAGATGTTGCTTCGGTGACGCCGCGTAGCCAAGTGACTCCCGTCCAGTAGTGTTCAAAAGGCTGCCATGCCGCGCCCCTCCAACTATCCTATGACGTTTTCTGTTTGAGTGCGTCACAACCGGAAGCGTA